GCCCCAACATTTTGGGCCAGGCCAATGCAGCCTCCTTGTCTGCTCACCACTGGCCCCCAGTGTTCTGCGGTCTGATCACTGGAGCCAGCAAAGTGAGCTTTTTAAAATGGAAATCTTCGTACATCTCTCTTTCCTGAAGTAGAGCGAAAGCATTCATTACAAGCAGAATGAATCCCAATCCCCGCACAGACAGACTCCCCAAGATCCTGGATCTGATCTTCCCCTCTTGTTTATTCCCCAAGCCTCAGTCACACTGGCATCTCCCCTGGCCATGCCAAGCTGGCTCCTGCCCTCGGACCTTTGGATTTTCTGGTCCTGTGACTGGAACACCTTTCATTCCTGTCCCTCATCCTCCTTCAGGTCTCTGCTCAGATGCCATTCCCTCAGACTCCACTCCCTAACATTATTGCACTGAGCCTGTCTCTCCGCCACACCACTCCATTTCTTTTTCTAGCCCCTGTGGTTTCTGAAGGTATTTTATAGCCAGTAGCTCATTTGCTTTTGGTGGTTGTTGTTTTTGTTTTTTTTTCTTGACTCTTTCACTGGAATGTGAGATCCATGGGGGTAAGACCTTTTGTTTCTTTTGTCCTCTGTGGGGTTTCTACACAGAATACCCCAACTAGCCCTGACTTCTCTTTCAGGCTTAGAACAACCTCTCAAATCCAGGCCTATTTGTCCTATTTAAATAGCCAACGCCCAGAGTTGACTGCAACCCCACCTGCCTCTGTCACCCTACCTAAACACTATGTTCAGGGCCAATCACCCCTTTTCTTTTCTGCCTTGTTTCCCTTATTTATTGAATCAGAAACCCTCCTTGCTTTCCTTTCAAGTTAAAGATCTCTAATGGCATCTGTAGGGGAGCTCTGGTGGCTTAGAGGTAAGAAGCTGCACTGCAATCCTGAAGGCACATAGTTCAAATCCACTAGAATTTGAGAAGGATGGACAATCTTCTCGCAATTTACTCCCTCTGAAAACCCTCTGGAAGGCCCAGCTAAGCATTGGTTCCAACTCAACAACAGGATGCCACAACCACAATGGCATCGTAGGTCCCCAATACTTTCTGCCTCAGTCTGGATTTAAGATATTGTCTCTCTTCCTCCCCTGCCCTTGGGCTCACTCAGTCAGTGTGATTCATTGCTGTATGCAACCTTAGCACCCAGCCCCAGCTGGCCACGCACAGCCACTTAGGGGCATTGTATTGGGGTGATCTCATCACTATAATGGGCATCTTGCTAGTTAGGCAGGCCAGATCAGCATCTCCTGGAAGTATGACCCAAGGTAAATTATTTCTTATCTTCAAGCCTCAGTTCCTTCCTCTGTAAAATATGTAGAATCATCTCACTCTCAAGAGTTGTAAGGATTCAAGGGGGTGCAACATGCTCAACACATGTGAAGTTTAGGGGCAGATGGGTCCCTTTCCTGGTGTGGGCTCAGCCCTGGGCTTAGCAACAACAAGCTCCATGGGCAAAAAGCCCTTCAGGTCCTCCAGGGAAGGCAAGTTGATGACCTCTGGTGATCCCTGCCCTTCCCTGGTTCTGAGATGAGGGGCAGGCAGCAAGCAGACTGGATCAAGCTCTGAACTAAGAGCTACATAATGGAATTAGAAGCCTGGCTCCAACCTGCACTTCCTGTTCCAGGGCAAGTGACCCAGAGCCAGTCTCTTCCCTCCCCTGAGCCTCAGCCTCCTGATGCAGAAAAGGAGCTAATAGCACATACAGCCTAAATCTCAAAACCGCGTGGGCAAAGAGCCGAGCTCAATTATTATATCCTCAAAGCAATCTCCTGCACTTCTCCTGGCTCCTCTGGTGATTAGGGATGTGTGCACCTTGCTCAGAGGCCATGACTGTCCTGCGCTGTGAAGAAGCCCCCCCACCCCATTCTGCATGGCTGTCCCAGGGCCTGACTTGGGCACCTACAGCCTGGGTTATCACTGGATTCTAACAGCTTTAGATACAAAGGAGGGTCCAAATGTTGGTGACACCACTGGGTGCCAACCTGTGAATGTCCAGCCAATCCTCTAGAAGAGAACTGTAGAGCCCTCCACATGGAGCTCAGTGGAGCCTGGGGGGCACAGGTGGTTGTAGTTGACCCTACATAGAGACCCTCATGCCATAGAGAACTGCAATCCACAGGATTTTCAGAAGCAGATGTCTTTCTTCTGTAGCATCTCTGGCTAGATTTTGACCTTCCATTATTTCAACTAGCAACCAAGCATGTTAATTGTGTATACTACCCAAGGACTCAAGTTCACAGAAATACTTAATACAGAAATGAGTTGGAAAAGAAATTTATTCCCCACATTCAGCCAAAATTTATTGAGCACCTATAGCATGCCAGGCTTTGTACTAAGACTGCTATACGCGCCAATCCTGACAGCATCCTCCCAAGTCGGCCTCAGTACCTCTAAATTCTCTCACTCAGCTCTTCTCACTATCGACCCAGCACCCACCGTCTGCCAGGTTCCAAAACTTTTCCCAGAATCTAGATAATGCCCAGACACTCCATGCAGCATGAGGCCTGGGAAGGCTGTACTCCCATCACCACAATATTATTCAAGTCCTTCCTTCTTCTGTCCTTCAAGTCTCATCCCTCACAAACCCTCACAATCACCTCCCCCTCCCAGTGCCCTAAATCCACTCAGGTTATACCTAGAGGCACCAGCAGGTGGCGATGAGGCTCCCCTCTCCCCAGCGCTGGACTACACTCCAGACCTTCCAGAACCTTTTCAGGGCCAGGGTGAACTGTGACCTCTTTGTGATGCCACTCCTTCCTGATGGTACTTTCTATAGAGGCCTAAAGAAGCTCTAGTTACTCTTGCAAGCCTGCCCACCCCTAACTCCATTTGTCTTTTCCTGCCTGGTGGGGGTGGGGGTTCCCTAGGGGCCAAGCTGCAGCTGGTGGGGCGGGGCCGGGTGGGGTGGGGCAGACAGCAGCTGCGGGGAGAAACAGAGGGAGAGGAAGCAGAGAGATTGGTGCTCAGGACTGTGCAGCACCCACCTCGGACAGGTTTGAGGTCTCAGCTGAGGTTCATCCCGCAGGACAAGGTATGTGGCTGAGGAAACAGATATGAGTAGAGGGGTTGGCCTTCTGATCCAGGCAGGCCTGGAGGTTTGGAGGGGTCTGGACAAAGTTCCTTGTGAGCATTCTCAAGCCCCCTCCCACTCTACCCCTCCCAAAGTGACCAAGTAGGGAGTGGTGGAGTCCTGGGGTGGGTTTACAAGAGGCTCTATGGCTGCTTTTGACTCACTGCACAAATTTCCATCACACTCTTCCTTGGCACCTCACTTTCTTACTCCACAAAATCGCAGGGGTGAGAGGAGGAAGATCCTGCAGACATGGGTTCTGTGGGATGGCTTTGAGAGGTTAGCCATTCCAGGGGATTCTGGAAGACCAGGAGGCCTTTAAGACCCTCCCCCCCCAAAAAAAAGGTCTTATTAATGGTGAAGTGACAGACTGGGTTTGGGAGGCTCATTCAGAAAGACTAATGTCCCTTCTCCAATGTTAGGGACCCGCAGATCTGGCCTATGTCCCTCTTTCTTAACCTTAGTTCTCTGGCTTGCATTTGAGGTGGAGCATGTCACTGGTTTGGGGTGGAGGCTCCCCTATCTGTCAAAAATATTCTCATCAGGGAAGGGGAGGTTGGTGAGTGTGGGCCAAGGGCAACTCTGCCACTCCAAGATCCTAAAGGGAGTGGATTGGGTATGAGGGTGTGAATTGGGCACAAGGGGGCAGAGGCAACGGCAGCAATGGGTAACGAGTGGAGGGGTGGTCTCAGCGCTTTGACTGCCTGCCAAGCCTCCAGAGCCTCCAGCAGAGCCACCAAAGCCAATACTGCTCACAACACCTGCAGGGCCAGATGAGGTGGGGCCAACTGGCTGAGGGAGGCACTCCTGGAGCCGCACACCCTCACCCTGCCCTCAGACAAATTTTGTCCAGGTTGTTCTCAGGCTGAGGAGGAGATGAATTCTAGAATTTCAGAGATCCCAGAGAGGGTCAAGTCACTTCAGGTCAAGAGACAGTCAGGAACAGGCTTGGGAGTCTGACTGGTCCGAGTTCAAATCCTGGCTCTGCTGTGGGTCCTTGGACAAGCCAAGGATCCCCTCTCCACTGCAGTCTCTTCCTGTGCAAAATGCACAGTAGAGTGTGACCTGCTGGGCTGCAGGGAGAATTAAAGTCATAATGCAATGCCCTAAGCACATTTCTGCTACTCGGTATCTGGTTCACTCTTGCTCTGGTTATGGAGATAAAAATGGAGACCCAAAGGAGGAAAAGGACAAGCCTGAGATCAAGGAACTAGACCTCTCATCTCTAAGCCCCGAGGTAAACAGTGATGTACCACTCCAGCACCCAACAGTCTGATCACTCCTGCTCCAACAAGCAAAGTCTGGGGGCGGGGATACAGTGAGAGGTAGGGACCTCAGGCCCAAGGTGGGGAGGTCAGCTCTGGCGTGGGGTGGGGGCACAGAGGAGCATCTCCCTCTCATTTGGGAAATGACAGGGATGCAGAGCAGGGTTAAGGCTGTGTGTCGCGGGACCACAGACTGAAGGGTTTGGGGGGTTGTAACTGACCACCGCAGAGCCTCAGACAACCCTGCCCGGGCTCCGGGCTCCGGCGCAGCAGACAGAGAGACCGAGGTACCAGTTTGCGAAGCCCCTGGAGGGCTCTGAACGCGGTGGGGCGGTCAGGAGCGGGGGCGCCCTCCGCCCCTCACCCCGCCCCCGCCCCTCTCCCC